GAGAGGAATTTGAATATAAATTTGCTGGAAATTTGTAAGACTTGAAGTAGGAAGTGACAAGAGATTTTCAGCATGGAGAAGGTCTCTTTCACCGATTGGTGCTTGTCCTTGGACTTCTCTTTCAAGTTGAATTCTTTTACCTTCCTCTTCACTAATTGTTTCTTTGTGAACATATATTTTTTTCAGGTTATAGTCTTCTATAGAAAGTAGGACTTCTTCTTGATTTTGGTTTTGAAATGGAGGTAGGAAAACTCTTTCCTTCTTTGCATAAGACTCTCCTTATAACCCTCCTTCTCCTCCACGGTTTCTTGATCTTTCTTCACCAAGAATCATTTTAGTCATTGCTTCTTCATCTTGGATTACCGGCTTCTCTTTTCTATCAGCCATAGAGGGTGTTTCCTCCTAATCCAAGTCGAACTCATTAAGGATTAGTCTCCTTGAACGACCAACTCTTTTTTTGCTTATTTCCTCTCGACCATGGCGGCTTTGGCTTAGGATGAGGCTTGACTAAGATTTAATCTTATTCTTGAGTCATTGCCATGTTTTTTCTAGATCTTTTAGAACTAAGGTTGGGCTTGCACATTATGTTTTCTCTCGGCTTAGGCTTGACAAGCTTTTCTTGGACTACATATTGGAAACAGGGCCAATGGGCCTTCGCTTTTTAGCCTCTAGCTCCTTGGGCTAATTGTCTTGAGTCTCTCTGGATAGATCTTGGGCCTGGAATACTTGTTAGGCCTTGGGAAAGTCAAAGCCATATGTAAATTAGCCCACAAGTTTATGAGTATCCTTATGCAGGTAGAAATCACTTCCCATATGGGAGAGGGACTTCAAATGGGTAAGCGTATGCCCCTATGTGTGCAGTATATAGAGATGCACTAACGTGTGCAAACTTTCTTTGTGTGGACACAAAGGACTTATCATGCGCGTGTGTGCTAGCCAAGCTTCGCATGTGTGTCTTCGTGCTCGTGTGTCTATGAGCTCGCAGGTAATGTTCCCGAAGGCACTCTGAATCTTGGGAGTGTCTTACTCATCTTGGGACTCCTCTTTGAACATTAATTTGGGGCTCTTGGGAATCACGCCACCCTTTCCTTAAAAAGGATTCGTTCTCGAATCTGACTCTTCATCTTTGAGATAACATGGTGCACACAAAGAAGCCCGAAATAGATGAAAGTAATTTTGTTGGTACCTAGAAATGCTTGCACATATCCTTATATGAAGTTGCTTCAAATTTTATATCTTCGGTGCCATGATGAACTCTTTTATCTTTCAAGTCGAGCTTTGGAATCGAATCTCCTTAATCGAGACTTGCACATTAGTCTCAAGACGCTAGTAGGGAATCCTAAAGGAGTATTGACTCTACAGCTCAAGCTCAACAGATAATGTAGATGTAATATTAGAAAGTAAACATGAAGTAAATAGTTTTCGCTCACAAGAGTGAGTTAATCTTCCTTTACTTATGCAACATAATAAAACAAAAGTTTTTTCACACACCTAGTAGGTAAGGTAATCTTCCTTTGAAACTTCAAAGATTTTTGTCACACAAGTAGGTAGTTAATCTTTCTTTGTTTTGTTTAAATGCCACAACAGAATGGCAATTGCCATATGATGTGCAACTGAGATATTTTGTATTTTCTAATTATTTTTTTTACTAATGGAATAAACAAACAATCACTTAAATTGAATGGATTCAATGAATTCAAGTGAGATGCACAATAAACTAGCAATCAAAATTTTTGAATTGCTAATTTTTAAAAAACACAATATACTAAAGCGATGAAGATAGTAGGTTCACTAGGAGGCTAAGCTCTAACATCAAAT